CCCAAGTAGCTGGGATTATAGTCATGTGCCCCTGCGCCAGGCTAATTTTTTGGTTTTTTTTTTTTTTGTGGTAGGGGACTCACTGTTGCCAAGGCTGGTCTCAAAGTCCTGACATAAGTGATCTTGTGGCCTTGTCTCCCAGAGTGCCAGGATGACAGGTGTGAGCCTCAGACCCCAACCAGGCAATCGCTTATTGTCATTTACTTGATTTTGAATTGGGGGCTATTGCATATTATACTATGATGAACAAATGAGAGAAAGAGAAAGAGAGAGCGAGAGAGAGAGAATATATATTATCACACGTTTAATTATTTTTTTCAAGATGAATTCCTAGAAATGCCTAGAAACATTTATGGTCTTCACACCTGAAGGGGTTAGAGGCCAGGAATACTGCAGAACTTCTCTACTTGCCCAGAATATTCCCCCCCAAACAGTGAGTGCTCTGGTCCACAATGTCAGTAGTACTGAGGTTGAGAAACCCTGCCTATAGCTCTTGCCAGTTGCCAGGAGTCCAGGAGCTTCAGTCTTGTTTCACTGCTGGGCTCGACTGCCCCTACAGCTTTCTATGCCTCCTTTTCCACTTCATCTGCTGCCCCTGGGCATGTCATAAAACCCTGTCCCTGTGTTTTCTGTAACGCAAGGTCAATCATTAGTAAAATAAGTCTTTTCTTCACTGTCTTTTCTGAATAATTCCTCCACCTTCTTTCCCTCATCGAATCTGGCTTCCCTTGAACCCTCTTACACCTGTGACACTCTTCAGCAATGGCTGTTTTCTCTGCCACTTCTATTAGACCCCAGGAAATGGGGCAGTGCTATGTGTTTTATTTACTTTTCCCTGATGCTTCCAAACCTGATTCACTTTCTTTCTAAAAATACACAGATTTTTCATCATATATCATCAGGTCTTACAATTTGTTATTTCTTCAGGGGGGAATTCTCTCTCTCAGTTCAAGTCACTCCCCTCAGTCCTTGAAGATTTTAGCTCCTGATTCCGTCATTCGCTGCAATACTGTTCTTATAATCAATGGTTGTTTCGATATCCATGCAGACGATCCTTCTAACATCCTGGCCTCTTTGCTTTCCTGACCGTTCCTCCTTCTCGCTTCCTCAGTCACTTACTTCCTAGACCTTGCTATTGCCAGCAGTGCACCTTCTCTCTTTTAAACAGCCCATTCTCCAACTCCACATCCTCCTTTCTGGCTCTTTTTCTCCAGTCCTTCACTCCAACAATTCTTCGACTTTTTTCTATCAGAAAAAAAATAAATAAATAAAAGCCATTGATCCTATCACTTTTTCTCCATCCCTTATCTCTCTCTGGTCAAGGTTTCCTTCTGTATCTGGCTTAAATTCCATATCAGTCCTTAAAATCTCCTCCTTGCAGATATTCTACCCCTCTTTGTTCTGCTTTCAGTTGCTTTAAACAACCCAAGTTCACTTCCATCTGCACCTGCCCTGTATCTACATCTCAGAAGCTGAACATGGTTGGATAAAACTACCCTGTCATGACCAGTTTTACATTAAATTCCTTGCCAGTATCTTTACTGGGTCCCCTAAAGCTTTCCAGCAGTTCTATTATACTTTCCCAGTTCATTCATTCCCTTTACTCCCAGATCAGTGATTTTTCAGGTATGCCCCCGACTTATAGTATCAACTTTATTGGGGAAGAATATTTGAAATGTAAGTCTTGTGTCCCACTGCAGACCTGCCAAATAAGAGGCTCTGTGTGTGAGAGCCCCAAATTTGCTGTAGCAATTTCTTCTGGTGATTCCAAGACATACTCAGGCTACAGGACCCAAGTTCTAATTCCTGCCACACAGTAAAATCTGGCATATTACTTGTTTTATTAATTTCTTAAATAGCTGGGTTGAGACGCAGTACACATACCACACAATTCACCTATGTAAATTATACAATTCAATACCTTCTAGTCTATTTATAGATTATGCAACCATCACCACAGCAATTTTCGACTTTTTTCATTATCCCTAAGAGATACCCTGTACTCTTTAGCTATCTTCTCCCACTGTCCTCATTCTCCCATCCCCTGCCCATCACTAATCAAAATTTTCCCTTTATAGATTGTCTGTTCTGGACATTTCATATCAAAGAAATAATGAAATATGTTTTTTATGTGTTTGACTTCCTCCACTTGACTAATATTTTGGGGTTCATTCATGTTGTAGAATAGGCCAGAACTTCATTTCTTTTCTTTTTTCTTTGCAGTTTTTGGCCGGGGCTGGGTTTGAACCCGTCACCTCCGACATGTGGGGCCGGCGCCTTACTCCTTTGAGCCACAGGCGCCGCCCACTTTATTTCTTTATATTGCTTAAGAAAGGAGAAATCAATGTACCAAATTTTGTTTATCTGCTCATCAGTTAAAAGAAGTTTCATCAGGGTGGCAGCGGCCAGATGTGCAGATCATTTCAACAAGCAATTGCTGAGCCCCTTTCCACTAGACAGTCTCCTTTACAAACTTCAGAATTTTCCCCCATCTGTCCACCTGCTCTGGGCCTGAGGCAGAAGGTGACATTGATAGACTGCACTTACCGCTCTGGCTCTTTCCATGTTCAGTGATAGAAAACCCCAGTAGGAGACCAAAGGTCAGAAGGAGAGGGAAATACAGCCCAGAGGCTATCTCTGGCCTACAGCCTGTTTTTGTAAATTAAGTTTTATTAGTACACAATCACACCCATTCATTTAAACATTGCCTATCGTTGCTTTCACCCTCCCATCAGCGGAGTTTGAGTCCTTGTGATAGAGATGATATGATTTTTAAACCTAATATATTTATTTCTGGTTCCTTACAGAAAACAAAAAAACAAACAAAAATAAATTTGTTGACCTCTGCTTTAGATAACTCTCTTAGGGCAGGTTTAATTCCTTGGGCAGCTTCATCCTTCCCCAAAGCATTGCCAGTAAATGGCCCTCCCCACACCTCCAGCTTCACCATGCCGGGAGTTCTTTCTCTTCTGATAACTGTCTCTTTCCTTGGTCTTGTTCAGGCCCATGAGTGGTTTCATGTTGCTACTTTCAGGGTGTGTCACCATATATCATAGCCTTCCTTCCCCCCTTGCACACACTTGGTCTCTTCGTGTCTCTTAACTTAACCAGCTGGAGTGAGCCACCTGTTCCCTGCCAAGACCCTGACTGCCTATGACGTAAATAGCATTGTACTAGAAGCATTGAGAAAAAGAAAGAAAGGGAGGAAGGAAAATAAGAAGACCAAGTAAATACTTTATTATCTGATGGTCATGAGCTGTGAGGGCTATAAGTAAGATTAATATGAATAACTATGTATGAGGAAGCCTGTGATAAGTACAATACAAGAGAAAGGAAAGATCACATCTGACTGATATATTCAGGAAAGCCTTCATTGATGAAGTGTCATTTGAACTCTGAAGGATGGGTTAGTTTTGGAGAGGTGAATATTTTTGTAAATAAAAATTACAGATGAGTGTATAGCATGAGATAATTGGGAGAAAGTAAATAACAACTTTCAGGCTTTCTTTTTTTTTTTTTTTTTTTTTGCTAGACATTAGATTAGGCAAAGCACTTTGGCCATCCTCTCAGTGTGTTCTCATAGTGATCACTTGAAGTAGTGTTTATTATTATCCTATTAATGGGTAAAGAATCAGGAGCTTTTTTGAAAACTAAGTAACTTGTCCGTGATTGACAGCTTGAAGGGGAAAAGTAAGGATTCTAGATTCTTAAGACTTAGGAAGACAACTAATCATATATTGTGTTTTCAGGGTTGGTTTCATGTTAGTTCTGCTGCAGAAATAAAGCTGAGATAGTAGATTGTATCTTCAAACAATTGACATTGTGTCAAGGACTTTAGGCTATGTTTTCTGAGTAGTGGGTAGTGTGAGGCTTTTTCCTCTGACCACAGAGACAATTAGATTGAATGCTCCAGAAATATGGTTTAGGTTACGTATAAAAGAAGTTTGAAGGAGGGTGGTAGTAATGGGATTTTAAATGACAGCATCAACACCATGGGTAAGTTTGATGGGCCAGAGGAAGAACTGAAGCAAACTGGTGTTTATGTGAGGTGTGAGGTGGTCATTAGGAAGAGGCTGATACCAGAGAACACAGGACGAAGGGGAGGTTTTGGAAGAATGGTAAGAAATCTGATTTTAGATATGTGAAGCTAAAGAAATGGGATAAAATCCAAACCTTACTTATGGATAAAATTCTAATTCTCTGTACAATTGGATATATGAGTGGCATGTCAAGAATGTTTTAGGCTATGGATTGTTGACATGGGAAGGTATGTCACACATCTATGGCAGGTATGAGAAAAGTGTGAGTGGTGGAGAAAGTTGTAGAAACAGGAGAGAAGTTTACCTTCTGGCCATTGACTCCACAGCTGGTCTTCAAGTGTTTCTTCAGCTCCTGGTGGTTGGGCTAGTTTTTATGAAATATATTTTTCTCTGCTCCTCTAAACTAATAATATTGGACTTTGTCGTATTTAAACCAACTCTTGCAATTCACTGAATGTGGACATACTATATTTCTTCAATTCTCAGCTGGCTATAACTGTTCTAAGAGCTGTCATCTGATTTCATAGGCTCCTTATAAGGTCGTGGAATGCTTTGAAAAGTGTATATGCTAAACAAAACAGGAGGTACACGTGCTCGCAACTTTTTTCCAGGAGATAAGCGCAGGTCTATCTAGCGTTGTAGTGCCCTATTTTCGTCCTCCTCCACCCCTGCCTACTTCCTGCCATGGACAATTACAAACCTGGTCAATGACCACCTGGGGGAGGCCATGCGGCCCCCAGTTAAGGACGCAGGTCAGAGATCAGAAAGGCATAAAGATTTTCGGGGAGGAGCAGGGGCAGGGCATGACCTAGCACCTGGCAGCGCCGCTGATTGGCGGAGAAGAAGGTTGTTCCCCCAGAGCGGCCGCTGATTGGCTGTGGAAGGAAGGGGCATGACGTCCTCAGAAGTTGAGCAAACACCTCCTCCTTCCCTGCCGGCCTGGCATCCCAATTTCTGCCGGGACTTCAGAGCGGATCCTGCCCGGGCTTCGGAGTTCGGAGGCGGCGTGGGACGAGCCGGAGCCCCTAAACGGACTAGGTGAGGAGTGGAACCCCGGGAGCGCCGCGCAGAGGGGCGGGTGGGCTCGCCCTGCGAGATGCACTGAGGGACCGCCGGTCTCCAGCTTCCCGCCGGGAGTAGCTTGTGGTCTCGGCCTCGCGTCTACGCGCCGCCGGCGACCCCCGGGGCCGGGCCCAGCTGGGGAGCGAGAGCGGCGAGCACTGGGCCTCCTCGCCAGGCTGTGACTCAGAAAGTTTCCCTCCGAGGGAGGGAGGGCAGTCGACGCAGCTCCAGCGTTTCTGAGTAGGAAGGGAATTCGGATTTCTTTTTCTTTTTTGGCGGGTTGCTGGCGGAGCTGTTGCTGGGGGAATAAAGGCTTGGTGCTGAAGCAGCAGCGCGAACAGCCTTGTTAATTCTTGGGTTCCATGCCTACTTCGGTGTATTGGCTGAGAGGAGAGGGTGATGGAGATCGCGGGGTCTGGCCCCCCACTCCTCCCTCGGTTTAGTCAAATTCTGGTTACGAACTTGTCACCCTGTCTGGCTCGGGCTGGCCATTCTCTCTGAGATAGACCCGTCACAGCGCCCCGACAAGCTGCTGTGCCTTGTGCATCCTCTAACAGAGGTAGGAAGGGGGAGAAAGTTTGGAGCCCAGGACTGCAGCGTTTTCGGAACTTCGGAGACCCTGCGGGCCTGCGCTGGGGCGGTGAGAGCTGCGGTGTCGGGAAGGGGCGGGGGAGTTGCCCTGCTTGATTGGTGGCCTGTGTCCTGACCACTACCAGAAGACGTGCGGTTTTCAGGTACTGAATTCTGGGGGTCAGTAGAAGTTTTTGATATTTTGGGTGACAGTTATTGGACTGTGAGGAAGGTGCAGCGTAATTCCTATTATGTGTATTAGCCGGTGTAGCTGTACACGGGATGGAGTGGTCATTGACTTAGTGGCTCTCTTAATGTTTATTAAAAGCATCCTACATAATAAATGAGTTTGTGTATATTTTGTCACTTGTATGCCCCTCGCCCCCTTTCCCATGAAGATGAGTGAACCTAGGGTGGCCTTGTTTTCAGCTATGTAACCTGGTGGCTGTTCTGCAAAGTGATTTAGGTGAACAAAAACTAAAGCTGACTTACCAGAGTAATTTTCCAACTCTCCAGAAATCATATTATCAAACTTATTTGTTACTGGTGACTGTGAGATTAGAACTTTAATTTACTTGTAACTGGAAATTATTTTTCTAACTAGTCCTTCATGCATTAACAGGCCTCGGTTGAGGATTTGGGAAATGATTTTTGGTGTGCAAAGTAGTCCCCATTTAATAAATGCATCTTCATTCTTCCAAATATTCTTTTATTAATTGTCTCACAGAAATAACGTTACAAATAGCGGTACATTTTCTTGTTGAGGCCACAAAAAGTTCTGTGCAATTCATGGAATCATGGAAACATCATACATTGGGAATGGAAAAGAACCAAAAACATTATTACTATATTCCACAAATCTAAGATGCCAACAAGCACAAGACCCATCGCTATTTTAGAGATGCTCAGATGTGAAATAATGGCCCTTAAATTTAATGAAATACGGTATTAAGATGGTAATTTATTTATTTATCTCGAACATCCATGTCCACAGGATGAAAATGAAGCGAGGGCTTATTGGGCTTCAAATTTTTTTTTTTCCAGAAAAAAATGTAAGAGGGGAATTAATATGGAGCCACTCTGAAGGGCTTACCGCGGTGTGACAAAAGGAAAGTGTCTTCTGTCAGTGGTGTGGCTTTGCTCACATTTGAGAAATAGGCAGGTTGGAAGCTTTTTCTTAAAATGTTGAGTGTATATGGCATGTAGAGTAAGGCATTAGCATGATACATGTTATACATATTAGCTGAATCAAATGTCACAACATATTGACAAGTGACATGACTCCCATTTTGCAGATGAGACACTGACAGGGTGAGTTACAAACCAAGGTCACGGAGTATATTCAGGTCCTGAGGAACCTAGGCCACATAGGCACCACAGGACCCAGCGTTCCTTGGAGGTACCCATCTTCTGTTGCAAGCTCTTCGCTCCTGGTCCAGGCAATTAATGCAGGTAGCTCGGCTGAATGTCCAGTTTTCCTCCATGGTGTTTTTGGGTTTCCCTGTGTAGGGTACTTCAGCTGGGTGTTTATAAGTCAGAGTGCCTATTTATGTACTTCAATTTTAATTTTTAATAATCCACACTGCCCAGTCACTACTATGCTTAATATAGTCAAAGTATTACAGCTGAAAGGGACTTTGGTATTATATTCCAGTCTGGGTAAGGGAACTGAGGTGAAGAGAAGGACCCTGCAGCTAGTTCTATGTCCCAGTTCCCAGTTCTGGGTTTTCTTATTACATATACCACATTTTATAACATTCATTGGTCTATGACATTTTGGCAGAGAATTGATCATACTTTGGGGGGGTGGGGGTGAGTTTTTGTTCCTTAGGAAAGTGTCTATTTTGTTTTCTCTGCTGCATAGCTCTTTATAATGTTTATGCAAATTTGCTCACTTCTTTATTTCTTCTTAAAACATTTGAGGTTTTCCTATGTTCCGGTAACTAGGAATACAAAGATAAGCAAAACCACAATTAACATCCTTTTTTACTTTGGCAAAGAGGCAGACAAATAAGCAGATAAGCATAAGCAGAGAAATCTTGAGCTAGACTCCAATTCAGAGCTAAGCTTGTATTCCCTGTAGATTAAGCTAAAATTGTGATCTTAAGTCTAGGAGAGTAATAGGTCTTATGTTTTTGAATGACTTTGAATAGCTGATGGGCTGGAGAAATATGAATATTCTCAGTCTAGACTGAGATTAGTAGACCCCCTGCCCCAGTCCCACTTTTCTTGTAAGTCTGACAAAGTATCTATAAAGGGTTTAGTATGGAAGCCTTAAAAGAATGTATCAGCACAACAGGAAGTGAAAGTGTGGAGGCCAGTGTTGCTGCAAGCCCAAGCTTAGTTCTAGCAAGTCTTGTGGGTGGAAGCAATTTGGATTAGTTCAGGGCCATCACCAGGCACTCTGTTAATTCTGGAACTATTCTGAACTTCTTCAGGAATATTATGGTCTGGATACCAAATATATAGTGTAGGCCAAGACTCATAGATAGCTGTGGATCAGCCCAGACTTAATTACGGATACCAGGGCTTCCTAGGAATCCACATTTTTAACAATACATTTCCATTTTTTTAATTAAATGAAAAGGCAAACAAATAAATTTCATCCATTAACTTGTTTTCTTCAGCTCAAGGTTATGTTAACCCATTCTTAGTGTCTCGGTATTTAATCAAACCATATGCATGATTATTATAAGTAATTTGGCATTGACTGAGAAATCTTGTGTGGTTTGATAGTTTCCATATGAGTCACTGAGTTATGTTATAATGCAGTTATTTAAGAGATGTAAACTAGATGGACAGAGTGCATATTCCTGACTGTGGAGGCTAAAGATGGAATACTTGGCCTTAATTTATCCAAGGATGAATATGTACTCAGGTATACATGTCCCAACAGAAGTGATGGGAATTATGAGGAGCTCTGCCATTCCTTCTTAAGCTCTTTATTTGCTTGTATGTTGTTCTGGTTATGTCAGATTTGTAAGTTTTTTTGGTTTTTTTTTTTTGCAGTTTTTGGCCGGGGCTGGGTTTGAACCTGCCACCTCCAGCATATAGGGCCAGTGCCCTACTGTGGGATTGATGCTATAGAAAGGGTTAAAGATTTTTGATATTTGATGGGAAAATAAAAAGCTCAATGAAAACCTCAGTTCTCTTCATCTACCTTCATCTCTTATGAAAACTGCATAAATCAATTAAATTGTTTTATGGCATAAATACTACTTGGATAGCAGCAAAGAAAAACCTTAATTGAGTTACATTTTAAAAGTTATATCAACTGGAACAAAAAAAGTATGTGGTAACTTATCCATAGAGGCTTGAAAAATGCTCTTTATAAAATATGAAAAATCCCCTATTTCTATGAGCCTAAATACCATCACTTGTAACAATGAATTTTATTTTATTTTATTATTTATTTATTTATTTATTTTTAGAGACAGAGTCTCAGGCACATTCATTTCTTCTGGTGCCTGAGGTTTCATGTTCCACGTTTCAGATCCCCACAGTCAATCTGGTCTGAAAGTAGGTGAGTTCAGTTCAATAAGGCACTGAGAGAGAGAGGCAGCTCATATTCACATAAGTTTTATTATAATGTATAAATAAATAAATAATAATAAATAATTATAAAATTAAATTGATGTTATTATGAGTTATTGTTGCTAATTCTTACTGTGCCTAACTTTTTAACTTTGATAATAGGTAGGTATATATAGGAAAAGGCAGTTTATACAGGGTTTGGGACTCTGTAGGTTCATCCATCCACTGGGGGTCTTGGAATTTGTCCCTGTAGATAAGGAGGACCACTGCATTTCCCTCTCATACTCCCATGACTTTTAGAGACATTTCAAATTCCTCATCAATCCTAGGTAAGTAAAACTATGTGCCTGAGTGTTCTTTTTGTTTTACAAAAACATAGAGAAGAAATCTTCTAAATTTCATTTCCATATTTGAAACACTGATCTTTATGTGTCAAAGGGAAGACTGTTAGAATTTGTCAAGGGGTCTTGTCTTTCATCCCTGCCTATATAAGACCTCTCTTTCTCTTTCTGTCTTCCACCTCCTCATTTTTTTCCAGTTCTTTCCTTTCTGTCCCTCTCTTCCACCTCCTTTTGCCCCCTACATTCTCCTTTCTTGTGCTATAAGCCATTATCAGCACCCACCTATCAGGTAACTTCATTAGAGCCAGTGAGTAAGCCAGGATCTTCTCGCCAAGTTTCATTGAAAGCATTGCCAGAAATATACCTTGCATTTTCTTCTTGATATCCTTGAAAAAGACCACAGGACAAAAAAAGCCAGAGCAGCCCACATGGGCATTTCCATGAGCTAGACCCCTGCAATGCAGTTCAGGAATCCTCACTGTTAATAGTCTTGATGTTTTTAGAAGCAAGTGAATGAGAGTCTATACTGAAACCAAGTGTCAAGTGGTTACTAACAGTTATACCTTCTATAATCAAACTTTTTCCCTAAGTGCCCGGAAAGCTAGAATTGGCAGATGCTCAGGAACAATTTTAGGTGGACACAGGAAGGGGGTCAAGAGAGGCACCATGTGCTGTGTGGATAATTTACTGTAACTATTGACATCGACACCATATGGATCTGATTTCTTTCTGGAACAAGAGCTGGCGGGAGTCATGGCATTGTTAGATCTACATGATGTGGCTGTCTAGTCTTTGACAAAGAAAAAAATCCTGAGTGTTAAACATTAACCTAGGAATCCTGCTTCTGCTTAAAGCAGCAAATCCAATCAGACTCCTGTTCCCTTTTTTTTCATCTATAAAACGGGATAAGTTCCCACTTAATAAGATTTTTTGCAAGGAGAAAATAAGGCAACGTTTGTAAAGTGCTCAGCACAGCACTTGACACAGTATATTTAGCCAATGCTAAGTATTGTGACATTCATTTAAAAAAAAAAGTTACAGAAATTATGATTTAAAAGCTCCACAGAAAAAGTGAAAGTGAAAGTAGCTTCCCAAATGAATCCCAGATGTTCAGTCTCTGCCACTTCTGTCTTTTTTCCTGGTCGGCCAAGATAATCTGTCTTTGCAAACATATATGTGTGTTATTCCAAGTGGCCGTGTGTGTGTTTACCCTGCTTCCCCCACCTCCACCCGAGACAGAGGAGGTGGGAGGAAGGAGGAGAGGTTGTCACTGAGTGAGGAGTGGCTGTGGTTGTAAATCAAGCTTGGGCTGAAGGGAGGGATTAAATTATCTGAGCAAGTTCCCTCACGTTAGCGTCAAGGGCTGGGATTCAGAAAAGAAGATACAAGATTAAGAAGTCACCTGTGAGTTGATGGGTAAAGCCCTGCTGTGTAAACGGGACCATTTCTAAACATCTGCATGTGTTCAAAGCAATTTGTGTCCTTGGAACTGGTTTTATTTAGGAATTGAGGGATTTAAGTTCTGTGTGACAGTGCTGCTTTTCTTTTGCTTGGGAAAGATGGACTGTTATGGGCTTGGATTTAGGTTTAATGTAGCCTCTTTTGACAACAAAACTACATGAATACAGCATATAAAAGCCCTTTACTGAAATGTTAATTATCTATTTTGACATGTATATTTTGGCCCAGCAGTCTGAACTCCTAATGGTTGGCAGGGCAGCTTCTCCCTGTAGCTTTCATAGTGGGACTCTGCTCTTTGCTTTGCTCACTGATTCTGCCGTGCGATGTGTCAATGTATCATCTGGGCGACAGGAAATGTGCTAGTATGCTTAAATTGGTGGGGCAAATCTTCCCCCTCTGTAAGGTAGGTGCTCAGATTGCCCTCTGACGTAACAGAAATACATTTCATGAGAGTTTTGTTAAAAGCTAGCGGTAATAAGGAGGAAATTTCTAGAAGTTGTAAAATCCTTTGGTTCTTATATTTTGCTTCTACCCTTAAACAGAAACTGTTTTAGCTTTCAAATGATTCAATAGATTATCAGTGGTATTTGGTTACAAAATATATGTGACTATTTGAAGAAGGATAGAATACTACTAGACCTGGATAAATTTAAAGATTTATATAAAATGTACTCTGCACAGCATACATAGCAAGGCTTTAGTAAATATATCTTGATTGCTTAAATGAGTAGAATCATGAATCTGGAATAGCAGTTAGAAAACTGGTTGAGGCAGGTTGGGATTTAATGCAATGGCGGGAGGGTGTGGTGTGGAGAAGACCCACAGGAAGAGGGGCTGTATGATCACAGCAATGCAGGGGAACAGTGAGGGCGGGGCTGGGGGGGTCTAAGGTGGCAGCAGGACCATCTAAGGCCATGCTGTTTACTCTTCTGACACTTATGTTTGGTTTTTCTTAAATTTCCATTCTATTGAGAATCAAAACTTTTGTAAATTTCAGACACAATAAATTACTAGCAAAATGATCATGTGATAGATATTAAGGTTTCTAAATGTTTACCTCCTATTTCTGTATACGTCTCATCCTGGACCAGAGGAAAAGAAGAAAAAAAAAAACCCACTTCACTGACACCAGTTTGCAAAACACACTGACCACACTTGTTTGGAGAACGATCAGAAATGAAGCTGCAAAGAAGATGGCACAAAAGAATGTGTGAAGAATCTTAGAATCTTGCATACTATGATAAGGATTTTGAATTTTATGCCGTCGGCATTGGGATCAATCTGAGAGTCCTGTTTTTCGTTATCTTCCTGGATTTGCATAAAAGATTAACTTGTTTCAGACTTTTGTGCTGAGCAGATGTTTGATAGAACATCTATATAAAAAGCTCTTCTTGGTTGAGTAGTTTGGGGTTGGTGACACATGAGTTGGCCTAGATGTTTTAGATTGTCAGTTAAGTAAAACCTTGGTTTTGCAAGTTGGGTCTGTGTGGGTAAAGAAAGATTTGGCATCCGGTTCTGCTCTGTCCTGTTCTCTGCTTTGGGCCTGTTACCATTCGAGCTGGTTGTATTTTACAGCAGATTTCTAAGGAGACCAGAATGATCCACCACTCCTGTCCTGTGTTGTTTTGCTCTTTACGTTGTCTTTACAACCACCAGGTGTCAAGATGCTGCGCCTACCTAGAACCAAACTGGGCAGGCTGGGGGGCCGCTTCTCCAAGGGCCTTCACCACAAAGCCGTGATGGCCCTCAGGCGAGAGGATGTAAACGCCTGGGAGAGGAGGGCCCCTCTGGCTCCCAAGCACATCAAAGGCATCACCAATCTGGGATACAAGGTCTTGATACAGCCTTCAAATCGGCGGGCCATTCATGATAAGGTGAATATTTTTCCTTTTTTAAAAAAATATGTGAGAATAAAATGAACTTGTACATAAAAATTAAGGAGCATGTGAGTGAAAATAAAATGTTTGCTAGTGTCAATTTAAATCCATTGCTTTGGTTAAAAATACTATTTTCACCCTATTACGCGTTTTCTCCACCTGAACGATAATGGGCCTGCTTTCGGAGGATCTCGTCTTTCAGTTACTCTCTGCATCATGGGCAGCTCTGGTTCTGAGGCTAGGGAGACGAGACGGCATTCTTGCACCCAGAGAACTGTTCTCTGAGTAGATTTTATTCATGAGAATGTACCCTACCATCCACTTTCAGAAGCTTTTTACATTCATCATTCTGTTTATTCTTCACAATAAGCTAACCTGCACTTTGCATCTGTGGGGTGAGATCTTGAGATACATGAAATTTTGTGTTCCTCAAGAACTTTCAAACTAATGATGTTACCATCCATTGATAAGCTTTGCCTAAATCAGATTTTACATGGAGGCTTTCAAAATGATGATTTTCTGCTTGTATCACTCCTGTTAAGTTTATTTGCTAGCATTCATCTTTAGAAAGGAGATTTCCCTTCATTTTTTTGTTCTCTTTTCCTATCTCCTCCTTTTTGGGTTATGAACTTTTATTACAGTGAAGTAAACTGCCAAACTATGAACTCTGTAATTTAGTGTTTCATGATTCTTTAAAGTCTTTCTTAACATTGCATTTAAAGCCTTAATGTGAGGAGTTTACAGATGCATGTATATGTTGACAAGATAAATCTTAAATATTACTTAAAAGATGGGTTGTGAACTATTTTATTGCAGTGCATTGAACTATTTATCAAACTGTGCATTCTGTAATTCAGGGATGAAACAGGCTTCTTTATCTTTTGCTCTTGTGAATATGTATCATCACAGAAACATGGGAATTTTTAATACAATCTATTAACCAATATTCTTTTTAATGTCCTAATTATCCTAAATTTGGTTAACAAGAATCCCTTTCAGGCTGCTACTGTGTCCTTTGGACATGAGTCCATTTATCTCTGAGTTGTCTTGTTTCTTGGAATAACATACTGTCCTAGGCTCCCCTTAAACTTTCCCTGCCTCACACCTGGAATTCACTCTTCCTTCCTCCATCCCTCCCTCCTCTCCCTCCCTCCCTTCCTGCCTCTCTCTCTCTCTCCCTCTGTTTCTCTTTTTTTCTTTCTTTCCAGACAGAATCTCACTCTGTTGCCCTAGGCTAGAGTGCTGTGGCATCAACCTAGCTCCCACCATCCTCCAACTCTTGGGTTCAAGTGATCCTTCTACCTAGGTCTCCCAGAGTGCTAGGATTAGAGGTGTGAGCCGCTATGCCTGGCCTGGAATTGTTTCACAAAAGATTCTTTACTTCATTTACTATATAGAAATGAGGATCAGTTATGTGATGTTAATTATCTTTATTGTTACTGAGATCTTGTTGCTCTTAGGCCTTTTTAGTGGACTAAGCTTAGAAATGAACAGAAGCAGGTACACACACATACATATATGTTCTTGAATCCTGAATTAGTACTGATATTTCTGACTAAAATTTAACATTGCAAATTTTTTACCTTTACAATTTTATATTTACATGTGTTTTTTTTCCAACTGTAACAATTTTAATTCTTATAACACTCATGTAGGGGTCCTCAAACTTTTTAAAACAGGGGGCCAGTTCACTGTCCCTCAGACCATTGGAGGGCTGGACTGTGGGCCCTGGGACAAGTCGGCCGCTAAGCAGGACAGGTAGAGGTGGCAAAAACACCCGGTGGGCCAGATAAATGTCCTAGGTGGGTCGCATGTGGCCTGCTGGCCATAATTTGAGGATGCCTGCACTAATGTATAATTTTTGCTTATTTTGTGATAGACATTAACTGGCTTCAGAATTTTTGCTTTTGTGAGTATGTATCATCACAGAAACATGGGAATAGCAATACTATTATTATATTTAGCAATAAGTCCATTAAATGAAGTTTAATATTTCTTTGAAGTTTTTTATGCTTTTATCTCATAAAGAATATTCAGAATACTGTGTTCAAAAAGTTGTTTGACCTATCATTTCTATTTTTTTCTTTTTTTGCAAAAATGAGCACCTATCCAGGCATGTGAGTATGTGGTATGTGTATTCTTGATTCCCTTTGCTTTTATACAAAAAGCTGTGTAGTATACACATGCTTTGGCATCTGCCTTTGTTTGGTCAGCGTATTTTGGACACTGGTCTATGTCAGTTCACAGAGATCTGTTTCATTCGATTTATTCAGCGATATGTACTCCATTGTATATATTTACCATGGTTTATTTACTAACTGGGAAGTGGATTGTGTCCGAAGAAATGAGTTAGCAATTTTATGTTCATTCATTTACAGTCCCTCTTACTCATCTATACTTTCCTTTGAAGTCGAGTCTTAACTAAGTTTATCATCTTTTTATTTAACTGCTACCATAGATGCTCTTTCGATTCTGCTTGGGTCGTGACACCCCCTCACATAAAATCTAATGCAACTATTTCTTACATGACTAGCTGTACCATATCCGTTAAATAGATGAACCTTAGGTTTCCTATTGTGGGAATTAAAATTGTGCCCACCCCGTGGGAGTTTTATGAAATGTAAATTAGATAACTTACACAAAGAGCTTAGCAAAGCACAAAGTAATTTATTGATAAATACTATTATTTGTTAGTCAGTATAGCCCATATTAGCAATGATATCATATATTCTACTTTTCTAGATTGATTTACCCGTATGCCCTGAACACCTCCGTCATTGTTTGCCTTTGTATCAGTGTCAATGATATGAAGGCAATGCCTTTCATTTCCCATCTTTAAGGACTTTCTTAATATTTCAATGCCTCTTTTATTTCCCATCTCCGTTTCTCCTGATTTTTCCCAGCCTTTTAGATTAAGTTAAATTTACATATTTCTTTGATTGTCCCACTTGGGAATTATCTCAATATTCATTAAACTAGAGTTTTAGAGCATAATATTCTTTTAAATTCAGCCTGCCTTACTGTGCTCCTCACCTCTTTTCACTGTATGTTGTGAGCTTCTTTGCAGGAGGGATCTTTGTGTCTTCTCCCTTCTAGCATATTCCACTGTACAGATTAGAACATTAGTAAATATTAACTGGACCCAAACAATGAAAAATAACTGTTGGAGATATGTCTTATCTTTTAAAAATATGAATAATAAATCACAATTTGGCATTTACTATTTCATTGTGTTGTTGGTAAGAAATAGACATTGAACAGGGGTGGTGCCTGTGGCTCAAAGGAATAGGGCGCCGGTCCCATATACCAGAAGTGGTGGGTTCAAATCCAGCCCTGGCCAAAAACTGAAAAAGAAAAAAAAAAAATAGACATTGAACAAGTAAGTTAAATCACATGTACTGGTGCGTAAGATTATGAACTATCCCTAAATATGAGTATGTACTGAATTTTCAAATTTATTTTATTTTGCTATGAGAGTTGAGAATGATAGATTTATCTTTAGCCAATAAGTACAGATATTAGAGTTAATTGTGCTACTATTTGTTCTAATCTATCCAGATATTATTTTTTCAAAAGGCCGTGCCTTTATTTGCCATACTCCTTTTTAAAGAAATCGTGAATATCACAAATCAGGGCAATAACCTTTAACCAAAATTACTTTTTCAGGAATATGTCAAAGCTGGTGGCATTCTTCAGGAGGATATTTCTGAAGCTTGTCTAATTGTGGGAGTTAAAAGGCCTCCAGAGGAAAAATTAATGTCCAGGAAGACTTATGCATTTTTCTCTCATACAATAAAGGCTCAGGAGGCCAATATGGGCTTGTTGGATGAGATTCTAAAAAAGGTAATTAGTGATCAATATTCATTAATCTTAATACACGAAAATGTTGTGTTTTTACTTTTAACTCTCAAGTAGAGATTTCATTTTCTTTAGGTTCTAGGAAGTACATCACATCATTCACCTCAATGGGGCGGTGATCTCTGAGTTAGTGCTGGAAGGTTCTGCCGCTCTGTAAGGCTCCACTGCTATGTAGGTTTGGAGTTTATAATAAGAGGAACTAAACATATTTCCTTCCTTTTAAAAAAGCTTTTATCATTCTTTCCACTTTGTTACCAATTCACAGGCCAATTGGTCAGATACTACCAAATGGAATTCTAGGGGCTGAGAAGACCCTCAGGGGTCATATCACCTGCCCTGCTGTACTCCCAACAGCGTTTAGAGAAATTAAGTGACCTGATGGTATTGCACAGCTCTGTGGTGCCAGAACTGGACTAGAGATGATTTTTACATTTATTAACATTCATAATGGAAAAAAAAACATTTTTTGAGATATACAACCTATAGAAAAACTATCAGCTGTTTACAATACAGGATTTTCATTCAACAAATATTTCCTGAATGGTTATAATGTATGGACACTGTTAGTTGCAGCGAAAGAGCAAAACAGTTAAGCGTCCCTGTGTTCACAGAGCTTGTGTTCTAGTGGGAGGAGACCAATGATAAATAAGACATCCTGTGTGCCACTTGGCAGTATCTGTGATGCAGATAAATATATTGGGGAAAAAAGCAGTGCTGGGCCCTGGGAGTGGACGACGCTATCTTAAATAAGGTGGTCAGGGAGGGCCTGGTGGTGAAGGTGGTGTTTGAAGAAGGTAAAGGTCTATCCTATGTCTATATGGGGAGAATCTTTGAAGCAGAGGGAATAGTAGTGCAAAGGCCAGAGGGTTTGGGGGTGAAGGATTGGAGTAGATCATGTTCTAAAATGCCTGTGCTATTGGCCATGTAGCCATCACTGCAGGTGGCAAAAAGAGAGAAAAGCAGATAAGGAGGCTTATGGCTAGGCTAGCCTAAACTCTGGGTCGCAGATGACGGTGGCCGGCACCTGGGCGATGGAAGCAGAAGTTGTCATATATACACAAATCGTGGATGTATTTTCATGGCAAATCCTATGAAATAAAGCTGAGATATGAGGAAAGGAGAGGAGTCAGGGAGGACTTGGTCCTGAGTTACTTGAAGAAGTTTCCATCAGTTGAGATGGGGTTGTTACAAGAGGAGTGTGCTTAGATGGGAAAATCAAGGGTTGAGTTCATTCTGCTGAGGTTGATATGACATTGGACACTTAAGGGCACAACCTAAATGGACTAGTATGTGAGCTGGAAGCCCAGGAGGATGTTTCCTCCTGCCACACGCCTTGTAGTTGTCAGAGGCCAGACAACATCGGAAGGTGAGTATAGGCAGTGAGTGTAGTAATCTAAGGTCCATCTCCCGGGGTAAGGACATTACAGCTTTAGAAATTAGAATTTCAGATGGGGACAGAGGACAGGAGTGTTCACAACCATTAAAAGGAATAGAGGAAAATATATTTTATATAGAACTATAGAAAAACTTTTCAATTAATTCCAAACCTGATAGATCTAGTGGTAGTTAATTTGCAGTGTTTATGAAGAACAGATTCAAAAGTAATTAATGGAAATAATATTATAAGAAGAAGGTTCTGCCTTAAGCAAATGAAATGTTTAAAAGTACTTTAGAAACTATTATTTTTTTTGGTTATATTAACTTTTTTTATTATAAGTAAATTAATAAAAACAGATCTGGCAGGGCTGCTTTTTGGCAGCATTTTGTAATCAGTTACTTGAAGTTGGATGAATGTTAAACATTTTTAAATTCATGAACGTGGTAAAAATTGTATGATGTTCAAGGACATAAATTTCCTGCTTAAAATATTATATTTACTATCTGTCAATAGGTTTTAAAGGTGGACTAACAAAACTTTCCTAAAAGAGAGGAAACATTTCTAAGGAAAGAGATTTGCAGGCACTTGCTACTTTTTAAATGAAGTTTACCTGTAAGAGAGTGGAGAGAGGAAGAGAGAAAGGAGGAGAGAGAGGGAGAAGAAGGAGGGGGGAGAGGGCACTTGTGTTTGAACTTTAGAGGAAGTGTTAATATTTTTAAGGCAGAAGAGACTCAGGTGTATTTAGAATGGCTGAGAAGCAGTGTAGAGAGGTATTACACAGGAAAGAGGTCCTAGTTCAAAAAGAGTGGTCTTCGAGAACGTGAGAAAAGCTGGGATCTAGCTCTCAGGGATTAGTCTCACAAGGGATCTCTTTTCTTTGAGCCCAGAAGGAAAGACATGAGAATGAGTGGGGCTGTAGATAGACTTGTAGATGGTGGGTAGGGGGCAAAAAGTTAAAGAAAATCCTACATATATTATTTTATTGTCTACCTTCAAGGGGTGTTTAGCACCTGCTAGGCTCATTCCTATTCTTTCATCTCTAATTACAAACTTCGAATTGGTTTTTGGCATTTTCTAATATTTCTTAGTACACCTGATGCTAACTTTTGTTAGCAAATCAAGATGTATGTAAGAGGAAAGTTTGTGAAAAATCTTGAGCGTAACAGGTCTAGTTGAAAAATATTTTTGTCTTTTCTTTAGGAAATTCGACTTATTGATTATGAGAAAATGGTGGATCATAGAGGTGTACGGGTGGTGGCGTTTGGACAGTGGGCCGGGGTGGCAGGTAGGTATGCCACAGCTTCTCTGTCACCCACTTTTTGAATTTGCCTGGAGAATAACTGTGCATTTTCTCTTTTCTGTCTGAAGAGGACAGGCATGTTCATTTCCAATCATAAAAATAAAAACACCAGTATGCTGAAGGGTGAGGAATATCAGCAGAATGGAGATAAATTGTTAAAATGTACTTCACTGTAAACGTTTAAAAGAGAGCGGGAAGAAGGATCACAAGTAGGAGCAGGCTCTGACTTTTTAGATAATTTGGACAGTCTGGACAGTTAGAAGGAGAGGTCAGTTTGGTAGTGAGATATTGGGAAGGAGAAGACAGGGGAAAAGGAAAGGGATAAAGGTGCAGGTAGAGTATTCTAGAAGGGACGAGAGCTAGAGTTTGCTGACAAACGGCCTGCCTTTGTCCCGGTTAGTCCCGGGAGCTTTATTTACTTGAGAAACACCACAGTATGTGATCGCTCTGGATGAGATTTGAATACTCAAACGTCTAATAAGCCCAGTCGTGATTCTGACGTTGTTTGTTTGGGCTTGTTATATAAAAGTGGAGGAGTCCTCAGTGTGTCTCAGTGATCAGGTCACTGTTGCTTCATCTGGACCAGTCTGCCTTTGCCTCTTTGGGATCAAACTCATATCAAAAATTTGGTCGATGGTATACTTTTTAGCTGTTTAAGAAATAAAATCACTTTGAATCCTAGAGTATTTATACAAACAGCACTCTTTCACCATTCATTCAAAAAATTCTCACTCAAATGTACTGGGAAAAATTTAAAATATTGAATACTTTTGGAAATGAACAATTTCAGAAAATCCATACATTTAACCTGTTATAATACTGCAATTCACCTGCTTCTGAAATAGTAAAGAAGTCTAAGCATAATTTTGAAACTTATAAAATTCTTTGACTTAAAACCAACTCTCACCTCATACCTTTCCTTACCCAACACACAAATCATCTCTGTTAAAGTAGCCTAATATTATATTTCTTCATGTGGAAGGAGTAATAGGCAGACCTCCGATGACTGCTCTTTTCAAGATTTACCCAAATGAGGGTTTTGTTTATCCGGTGAGAATTAATACTTCAAAACTAAGTGATTTATTAAGAAGTAGCACCACATCTGTGCAAAGAACGTGGTTCTTACATTTAGAAGTAAATATGTTTAGTATACTTATATAAATATTTATACTAAATATTTAGTATTCAGAAGTAAACACACAAATACCATCAGTGCTAATTAGTATAAAAAGGCATTTAAGTGGACTTGGTTGTTGGAGAAACTTCCTTTAAAAAGTACTTTCAAAGCTGAGATCAGAATAATGCCTCTGCGATCTGAGGCGTTAGGGAAGAAGGAGCATGAAAGTACACAAAGCCTAAAGGAGAGCGGGGGAGAAGCAATTTTGAGGAATAGTAATAAGTATTATTAGTGTGCAAATGAAGAAAAGGATAGGCAAGTTTTAGAAATGTCTAGAAAATATGATTCAAGGATCTGATGAGTGAGTGGAGGTGAGCGTGAGAGGAGGAGGGGAAAGTTCCAAAGATGACACCCAGGTTACTAACCAGGACCATGATTCAGTTCTCTTAGGACCTACAGGAATGGAAGAAGAATTTAGGGGAAGATACTAAGTGAGTTCAGTACAGGGCGTCATACTGGTAGATTGCAAGCTAAGTTGCTGTAATGAAGAGACACCATAAAACAGAGCTAGAACAGGATTGAAGGCCAGAGGTGAGCAGTCCGGAGATGGTGGGAGGAAGGAAAGGATCTGCTGTTGCCAACACGTAGCTTTCATTTTCAACACGACCCTTCTGGTTGCTGCTATTCCCTAGTCAATGCAAAGGGGAGGAAGAAGGGGAGGCAAGCACTTTGTTTTTCAGGATGTGATCCAGAATTTGAATGTATTATTTCTACTCATATGCACTGGTCACAGCAGATTGTCAAATGTAATCTGTAACTGGGCCACAACGGGTGCTGCTGAAACAGTGTGCTTTGCCTCAGTCCATGGGGGACTAACTGGGACTTATTACACTGCCATTAAGCAACTAGAAAGCTGGGTGAGGTATAAAAAACAATGCTTTCAGACACCAGACAATAGGTAGTACAGACTGTGATCCCTGATAGATGGAAAGCAAATGAGGTGAGCTCTATGTCCTTCCTGGTTGTCGGGAGAAGTTTCCAGACAGTGTGTATATGGGAAGGTGACACAAAGTCTGGGGACCCAGCTGACCTCGGGAGCATGAGGTGACTAGAATTGACAACAAATATATCAAGTAGGAGAGAGCTAGGCAGAAGAAGTATTCCAGAAATATGCTTAGAGTCTTGTTGAGTGGGGGGTGAAAATTCATGAGGAGACTGCAGAAGAAACCATTTGAAGGAAAGAGCAGTTCCCTGGGAACTCTATGCCAAACTGTTCCCAGAGGTTGTTGCATCAGCCAAGCCAGGATGGAAAGAATTCATTGAATATCTAGGGCATTTAGCAAAGCCCTGAATTGTGTGGCTAAATTACCTTTTTTTTCCCCCAGTTTTTGGCTGGGGCTGGGTTTGAACCCACCACCTCTGGCATATGGGGCCAGCACCCTACTCCTTTGAGCCACAGGCACTGCCCCACTAAATTAGCTTTTAATAAAGACTACTCTAAATTCACCTTTATGAAAGCTAAAAAATTAGTCTTATAGTCTAAATTGAGAGAGAGGTATAATTAGCTGGTAAGGAAGTTAAAATAGACATTACAAATTATTAATGTGTTTAAGTTTTAAATGTAAACATAAACAAAATAAGAAGAGGAATAGAGGAGATATCCATCTATGCCTGTCAACAGACACTACAGAAGAAAATCTATGTATCTTCTCCCCCAGACATTCTTCATTTTACCTTGTTAATTGTTAGATTTTGCTGTTTTCCTTTTAGGAGGGTTGGGCTTCTCTCTGATAGGCAATTACTTGTGGGTTAAGTTGATCGTTTAAAAAAATTATTTCAGACTATTATGAGGATACAGATTTGGGCTACATAATTTGCTTTTGTGCAGACTGAGTCAAAGTTGTAAGTGCCCTTTACTCAGACATTGTGTATTATACCTGTGAGGGGTGAATTCAGCCATTCCCTCCTCCCTGCTCCCACCTGTTTGATTTTCATTGAGTTTTTCTTCCATATGTGCCCAAGACTATTGATTGATTTAAAGCTTGTTTTCCTTCTTTCATCCCTTCTTTCCTTCTGGGACTCCAAATACATGTGTATTAGATCACTTGATCACCACTGGTCACTTGAATCCTGTTTCTATTCCCTCAGTCTTTTATTCTTTCTTTGTTTCATTTTGTTTAGTTTGTAGTGCAATGCAGTTGCAAAAAATAGCTAAAATGCCTAAAGAAATAAATAAAACTTTTCCACATTTTGATAAAAATTGTAAGTCCACAGATAAGTGAAGCTCAATAAATCCCACTCCCACCTCTCAAAAAAAAAAAAAAAAAAACCACACACACACACACAAAGAGAAATAACACTAAATCATCACAATTAACTTGTTAAAAAGAGTGATTAAGAAAAAAGTAAAAACAGTCAATGAGACAATGAAACTCTATCTTGTGGGTAGAGTTATAAAGATAGGAAACATTACAAACTTTTGGTCAGAAACATTTCATGAGCCAGAAGGAAATGGAACATCTTTAAAGTGCTAAAAGAAAGAAAAAGTCAACTTTGAATTCTATTATTTTTCAATGACATCTTTTCCCCGAATGAAGATGAAATAAGAACATTTTGATCAAATGAAAGCTGGTATAATTTACTGCCATAGAAGAAATATTAAAGAAAGTTCTTCAGGCAGCAGTTCAATAAAATCGGTTGGAAAATG